CCCCAAAACCCCAAAACCCCTTGAAATAATTAGATGTATAATTTGAATATTATTTTAGAATGATAAAGATAATTTTAATTCATGTGAAATCCTAGTTCATTAAGTTTGAGTATAAATACCATCTACTAATAATTTTCATTCTCTGTCATATGAAAGGATAGGAGCTAACCACTTTTCAATTTCTGGAAGTGGCTTACCCTTTCTTTTAGAATAATCTTCTACTTGATCTTTACAAATCTCCTCAACAGCAAAATAGTGTGAATGAGCATTTGCGAAGTAAAGTCCACTGACTGACGAAGCTGGGTTCATTGCAAGTGATTCAGTTAACTCAATTCCAGTGGTCTCTAATACCTTCATAACATCCCACATAGTCAATTTTTCAGTGTGATCTGGCTGAGAAGGATAGCCAGCTGCTGGTCTGATTCCTTGATACTTGACATTAAGAATTTCTGAGGGTGTTAGTTATTCATCTGGAGTGTATCCCCAGTAGTTTTTACGAACCTCTTCATGCAACTATTCAGCAAATGCTTCTGCAAATCTATCTGAAAGTGTCTTAATCATTATGATGGAGTACTGATCATCATCTTTCTCAAACTCTTTAATAATCTCTTCTTGCTTGAATCCTGCACTTACAGCGAACATACCTACATAGTCAGTTCTACCACTCTCTATTGGTGCTACGAAATCAGACATAGCTATGAAGTTGTCTTGATCACGGTCTACTTGCTATCTAAGAGTAAATAGTTTAGCTGCTACTTCAGACTTTGACTCATCAGTGTAGAGTTCAATATCATCGTAATTGACGGTGTTTGCTGGGTAGAAAGCAATAACTCCTCTCGCTTCAAGCCATTTATTATCAATAATCTTTCTAATCATGATCTGAGCATTGTTGAATAACTTTGAAGCTTCTTCACCAACAGTCTTATCATTGAAGATCTTTGGATATGTTCTGTTTGGGTACTTTCCTCTGATCTACCAGCTTTGGAAGAATGGATCCCAATCGAAATAGGGAACTAACTTCTCCAAATCATATTCAGTGAACACCTTGGTTCCAAGGAATTTAGGCTTGATTATGGTGATTCTTGGCCATTCTACCTTCATTTTCTTTGATCTGGCCTTGGCAAGTGATACGAATTTCTTTTCTTTTTAACTCTCGTAATACTCTCTTCTAACCTCTTCGTATTCATTCTTAATGTCCTGCATATACTCTGTCTTGTTGTTAGGGTCGAGTAAGTTATTGACTACAACTACAGCTCTTGAAGCATCAAGAACATAGACAGCCTGATTGTTTTTATAGCAAGGTTCGATTTTGACAGCAGTGTGCTTCTTCGAAGTAGTGGCACCACCAATAAGAAGAGGTACATTGATTCCATGCTTGCTGAATTCCTTAGCATTAAAAACCATTTCATCTAATGATGGAGTGATAAGACCTGATAAACCAATGATATCTGCTTTCTCTTATTTTGCTCTTGCAATAATATCGGCACATTGCTGCATAACGCCCATATCAATGACCTTGTAGTTGTTGCATCCAAGTACTACTCCCACAATATTCTTTCCAATATCGTGCACGTCACCCTTCACTGTTGCTAATAACACTGTGCCATTGTATTAAATCTCTGTAGACTCAGCTCCACCTGCAGCTAGTCTTTCTTCCTCCATAAATGGCACTAGATAGTTCACTGCCTTCTTCATGACTCTAGCACTTTGGATGACCTGAGGTAAGAACATCTTACCACTTCCAAAGTAATCTCCAACAATACTCATGCCTTCCATCAATGGACCTTCAATTACATTCAATGGGCGGGGGAATAAATGTCTTGCCTCCTCTACATCTACATCAATATAGTCTATGATTCCCTTGATCAAGGCGTACTTAAGTCTCTCAACTACTTCCTTAGTTCTCCACTCATCTATTTTCTTCTCCTTTACAACACCGGTACCACCTGCTTTCATTTCGTCAAGTCTCTCTTTTTCTATCTTGGCATATTCAATGAGTCTGTCCACATGATCATCATTATCACTTTTGTTCAGAATCACCTCTGTCAGCAGCTGCCTGAGTTCTGGCTTGATATCCTCAAACAAGGGGAGTTTACCAGCATTAACGATACCCATGTCCATGCCTCTTGATATTGCGTAATACAAGAACACACTATGCATCTCCTCTCTCAAATCATTGAGACCTCTGAAACTGAAGGAGAGATTGGAAAGACCTCCACTGATATGAGTGTATGGACACTCTTTTCTAACTAACTCTGCTGCTTCAATAAAGTTAACTGCGTATGGATTATGCTCTGGCATACCTGTGGCAATAGTAAGAATGTTAAGATCAAAGATTATATCCTCAGGTAAGAACCCAACTTGCTCGGTAAGTAGTTTATAAGCTCTCTTGCAGATGCTGACCTTGTTTTCAACTGAAACTGCTTGTCCCTCTTCGTCAAAGGCCATAACTATTACTGCAGCTCCATACTTCTAGATGATTTTAGCCTTAGCCAAGAAGTCTTCTTCTCCCTCTTTTAGCGAAATAGAGTTGACTACACACTTGCCCTGGCAGTTCTAGAGACCTGCTTCGATGACTGAGAACTTTGAAGAGTCAATCATCATTGGAATATTAGCAATATCTGGAACTGATTGCAACAGTCTGCAGAACTTCACCATTGCTTAGACTCCATCAATAAGACCTTCGTCAAGATTGATATCTAAGATCTAGGCACCGTTTTCTACTTGATCTTTGGCTACCTTAGTTGCAGCTTCATATTTCTCATTCTTAATCATGTTCTTAAACTAGATACTTCCAGAAATGTTGCATCTCTCACCGACATTAACAAATGGAATGTTTGGTGTAAGTTTGAATTCTGTAAGACCTGAAAGCAGAGTTAGGTGATCTGATTCTGGAATCTACCTTGGAGGGTATCCCTCAACTACCTACTTCACTACTCTGATATAGTCTGGGTTAGTGCCACAACATCCACCAACCATATTTAGTAGGCCTTCATCAACAAAACTCTTGATAGCTTCTCCGAACATTTCAGGAGTTTCGTCATATCCTCCCATGGCATTTGGTAATCCCGCGTTGGGATATGCATGGACATGCGTAGTAGCAATCTTCGACAGTCTCTGTAGGAATGGCTTCATCAAGCTAGCACCAAGAGCACAGTTTAAACCAATACACATAGGTTTGGCATTCATCATTGAGATGAAGAAAGCTTCAGTATTCTGACCGGAGAGAGTTCTACCTGCAGCGTCAATGATTGTTCCAGAGATGAACAATGGAAGTGGGCGAGGCAGCCCGCTCTCTTCAAAGTACTCCTTATATGCATATATACCTGCTCTGGCATTCAGCGTGTCAAAGATAGTCTCAATGAAAATGATGTGGACTCCTCCTTCAACTAGAGCTCTGATTTATTCCTTGTAAGCATCCTTGAGTTCCATGTAGGAAACATTTCTAAAAGATGGATCCTCAACCTTTGGACTAACACTTGCTGTTCTATTAGTTGGGCCCACTGCTCCAGCCACAAGTCTCCACACTCCATTGTCATCCTCAGCTGTCTTTAAATCAGCCGCCTTTCTAGCGTTCTGAGCTGCAGCTTTATTCATTTCATATACAAGATGCTCTAAAGAATAATCTGCTTGAGAGATGGATTAACCATTAAATGTATTAGTTTCAATGATGTCTGCTCCTGCATCTAAATAAGCCTTATGTACCTCTGTGATAATATCAGGCTGAGTAAGATTTAGAATATCACTATTGTTCTTAAGGAGCTTGTCAAAGTCTCTGAATCTCTCGCCTAGTAAAGAAGTAATGTTAAATATCTGATATAAGAGTATGTAAAAGTTTGTATTTATTGCGTCATGCTTATAAATTAATACTCATGGCAGCAACCAATTCAAAACTTAGCTTACCTCTATAATCTTCTTCTTGAAGTTTGTAGGTTTAGATCTGAGTACCCATGCCACCGTCTAAGACGATGATGCGTTCCTTAAAGGTTTTCTCGAGATAGGTGTAAAGATTGTCAACGTCTACAGGAAGATATCAGTATTACAAATTTGAGGATATAAGGGTGCTTACCGAAATCGTAAATATATGATTACATCACGCTTTTAATTATTGTATTTATTTAAGAAGTATTAATTATAAATTCAAAGCCCCTACATCATACTTAAACTTTTATGTATTTGATTACAAAGTTATTAAAAGCTTGCTATATTATTTAATTTAATGAATGGCTTATTTTAACTCATTTCAGAGAAAATAATTAAGCAGGAAAGAAAAGTCTTAGACTTGAAAAGCATTTAAAGCATAAATAAATGAATGAAAATAGCATTGAGATTTGCGTTAATAGTTTAATGAGTACATTTAATTTATGTATGGGATCAAAGTAGTTAAATAATGATCATTTCTTTTTGGCTGGAGGTGCTTTAGCTTTAAGCCCTTTCTTTCCTTTGGTGTCTTTTACTTTGGTTTCAGGTGGCTTGATCCATTCTATCATCTTCTTCCTCTCAGTCAAAAATGCTTTTTTCTCATCGATCCTTTCCTGCATCTCAACCAAGTTAACTGTTAGTCCATTATCAAGTGTCACTTCTGGTTTTGTAAAACGAGGGTCATTTAATTGATAATTCCATAGTCCTTTCTTCAAAATTCCAACAATTCTTTCAACTTTGCCACCTGCAACCTTATCATCTACATATTTGACACCAGTCATTCTGCCATATCTGCTAGACTGTAAAGTAAATTATGAGTAAAGAATTAGTTACGAAAAGATTAATGTCTCTAACATGGAAGTATGTGCCTTAAGGCCAGTACTTTTGGTATACTTTGAAGCCTTATCCATTACCAGGGAATCTAGTGAGGAGTGATACTAAATTGTAATTTGTAAATTTCTTGTGATGTGTAACTTCCTACATGGTAAATTTCTTGATTGCCTTCTCATAAAGAAGACGCCTTGCTTCCTCCATAGCAGCTCCCATATTTCGATTTGCTTATATTTATTATTTTATTAATATATAACTTAATCAAAATTAGCATTAGTGCAAGTAAGCAAAAGTTCAATTGACATATTTTATGAAACAAAAGACAGGCGTGGTTAATTTTTAGTTAATTAAATTCTACTTCATAAAGATCCTTCTTCAAATGAAGAGGCTGATTCATTGAATTAAGTAAGTTAATTTTGATCTGGGTTTATCATTAACTCTTTGAGCAATTACTCAAACTTGATTTTATCTCAGAACTAATTACCAAATGTAGTGGTAAACACTGTTTTAATAGAGGTATTGCTCTTATTATGAGAAAGAGTATCATTGATGAGATTTTTATCTAATAGTGCGCTATACTTCTTCAATCCTTCTAGCAGCATTTAGTATTCATGACTTTTCCACTGTTTAAAAGCATTATGAAGCAAATGCTCCTTATTCGTAGATGCTTTCTATCCAAGAATAATGGCTCTTAAAAGTTTCTAAAGACATTTAGATGAAAATATTTATACCTTTTCTCTCACAGCTTCAAAGGTTTCATGACTTTAGAGCTCATCTGAATATATAAATCTTAGCCATTTTATCATACACATGGAGAGCAACTTACGATCAGTCCAAGTCATTAAGTATAATGCAGCATCTTATCTCCTATGTATGAAATTATATTGCTTGAATTGATTGAAGTATTTCCGTTTAGTTAGATTTAGGATATGCTTTTAAAGCTTTATTACTGCTTGCTTTGAGACTACTTTGGCACTTTGAGGTGAACAATCTGATTCTTGAAGATTTAAAGAAATCTACTTAAAGACTATGCTCTTTGTAATGTTCTTTTAACTTTATAAGTATCTTGGGGATTTTCCGCTGATTTGAGTTAAGTTTATATTTGAAGTAGATGTAACCTATAGAGGCAAATTATTAGATTGCTTCTTAGTTACATTTATATTAGAATTTTATTGTTGTTAATAGTGTTGATATTGAGTTTTGTCTGTATCTTTTTTTGAATTTTCTTTCCCGATGATTGATGATGTGTTAAGATTTGATATAATAGAGAAATTCACTGCTGGTACCTACATACTACCAGTATTATTTTTATTTTATCCAAGTGAACTTCTCTTATTCTGGAATGGAGTTTCATCTATCTTAACCTTTTTTGATTTAGTTCTATTGGTTAATGATCCTTACTAGAATGTGTTCACCTAAGAGCTATCATCTAATGAAATATATATGCTGGTAGCTGGATGTAACTATGATATATTCTGAGAGTTATGGCCTGTTATTTAGGAGTTTCTTGTTTTAGAATGATTGAAAGTCTTATAGATATTGATATTTGATTGTTAATGAATATTTTAGGTTGCGACTATCCCCTTTGAAGTCTTAGATGGTTGTCTATACTTTTTAGGTGATAATCTTTTCACTTATCTCATTGATTTGCTAAGCTCTAAAAGTCTTTTAGACTTCTCAGTAAGTCCCTTTTCTAATTCAATTATGCCCTTTTCTTTCATCTAGATGTAATTTTCCTTGCTCTTGATTTTATTATCTCTTTCATTTATTAAATCGACTTAATACTCAAGTTGTTGCCTTAACTAAGATATATGTACTTCATCTTCTCTTAACTAACTGGTCTTGCCAAACTCAATTATCTTACTGAAACTATGAATCAATCTTTGATTGAGTAAGTATTGAAGTACTTTCATTATGTAGCTGCCCTTTATTTATATATTCCTTTTGTAAGTTAGTTATTCTTCCTATGCATTCTTTAACTTGTTGAAATAAGTTCTCATATGTCGGATTTCAAGCCTATTAATAACACATAGTCCTTTTTTAATTTTTTCATCATTAAAGATTAGCTATCTCCATTATTAAAATAGCCTTGAGGTTCGAGATGAATTCTGCAGTACTTTAGAGAGAGTTACTAAAATCTAGGTTTTTCTTTGATTTTGAATATTTTACACTTATAACTACATTCTTGTATCATTAAGTTTCCAATTTCCAAGGTACCTGGCTGAAATCTTGTGCTCAAGCTTTTTTGTGATTTTGTTAACACTATTTGAAAACTCATAGTTTCTTTGTTAGGCCTTCTAATCTTAAGCTTTTATGTATAAAATCTTTTCTAAATACCTTTGGAAGAAGTTTTACTTTGAAACTTATTCTTATTTCGATAGAATTTTCTATAAAATTTTTTGAATTCTAAATTTCTTATGGGAATAATTAGATAAATTCTAAAATCCTAATCTCTTTTTAAGTCCTATTATTTTTTCTATTATTTTGATGAATTTTACTGAGGCTATTCTAGATTAATTGGCTTTAGAATTAAATTCATTTGAATTTTGAATCAAAGATTTTATGAAAAATCTCTATTACATTTGATTTTTGTTCTCTATAATTCTTATCAATAAATTGGAAGCAATCTTTCGCCTGTTTTGCCTATGGTTAAAAGTTTAAGCTTCAGATATTGACTTTAATTTCAGAAAGTACCTTTATTTAGTTAGCTATTCACTAGCTAGACTCTTTGTAAGGTATTTACTAAATAATGATATCATTCTTAATTTCATTAAACTTCTATCAATCTGCTTCCAGGAGATAAAATAAGTTTTTAGCATTGATTATCTCAGTCTGATTGAAATTTTATCAAGAGCTTTGTGTTTTTAATAATTTTATTTAAATGCACCAATACCTCTCTATTTTTGTTTGCAATTATTATATCTCTATTAGATTAATCTTTGCAGTGTTTAAGATCTTAGAATCTAAATTTATTCATCATGAAAAGCAACTTTCTTCCATTTATTGAAACTATTCATGACTTTTCTAGTGCATATTCTATTTAAAATAGTTTCCTATATTGTGGACAAAACATTTGAGTTAGATGATTACTATTTAACAATTTTTACCCAGAATTAAAATTAACTTATTAACATGGTTTTTTAGCTATACTTTAGTATTCAATCTGCAAGTATTTACACTCCCTTACATCTGTTTTAGTTTTTCTTTAGCAAATTTAGAGCTAGTCTCTGTTGATTCAAGTGATTTTAATTTAGTATTCGAATTATTGACTTTAAGGCTAGAGACTAAAGTTTGAGAGATTGCTATTTAATTTATTAATGGAGGGCTGATTGATCCTTAGAGATCTAGGAAACAGTTTTTTCAAACTCCATTTATCTCATTTTATTTTATTTATACTCCTTAAATATGTTGAATAAGAAAGATGCCTTGCTATTTCTAATCTTAGATATAGTCATCTGAAGTTAATGTGCAGAGAGTGCTTTGAGTATCTTGGTTTTATTAGTGTTGATGTTGAAGGGATCACCCTTATTAGTTATTATATGAGAGTCAGAGAGAAGGGTTGATGTCGATGGGGCAGCCGACATATTTTGTAAATATTCTTTAATTTTTAAATTCAAACTGTTAAACGAGCCCCTTCTTAATCGATTTAAATTTAATTATTTGAACCCATCCCAAATCCTGTTTTTCTCAATAACGTTATATAGAGCTCTCTGGGTTAATTAGGCACGCCTACGAAGTAGTTGCTTGTACTTTGTCTACCTAGCCCATACCACATAAGCCCCCTTTTAACACCATTTCGAGCGTAAAGCCACAGCTCTTTCCTCTATTAAAGGATTCAAGATCTCTTTGTACTAATCTGTTTATTTTATACTTTAGAATGGCTTTCTGTAAATCATTTGAGACATTACTACTATCAGATTATATATTGCGTAACCTTTTCTTTTATAGATTTCCTTCGTCCTTAGCTTACCCCATCTTGAAATTGCATCCTATTTCATTAAAAAGCTCTTTATTAAGACCAGTATATTTAGCTTTTCTCTCTTTGCTTGCATCAAATTCTAATCACACGTTCTTAGCAGAAGAATTGATTCTCTTTACAAAGACTTTTTATAGTTCGAGAACTTTTTAATTAACAGCTTCACAAAATAATCTCTAATCTGCTCTTTTGTTTTTACAGTGCCGTCCATCATTGCTTGCTAAAATTTATTACTAGGACTCAGAAATCTTTGCCCTCGTAGAAATGTGGTACAATTACTCAGATAATGATCCATCGATGCAGTTCTAGATAATACATTAAGCTTGTCAATTTGGCCTAATCTATCTGATAAAGGCGACATTAAATTTGTTCCATTGGTGTAGACTTCTAGCTCATTGTTCTTTTCATGATCCTCTTTTGTAGAATATATCTCATCTTAATTACAGTTATAATTATCATGATGCGTTTGGAACATTGGATTTTTATATTGCAGTTTAGACATGAAGTGCATACTTGGCTTAGAGTTACTTTTCTGATGTCTAACAAATACTGGCTTTGGAGCGAGAATTTAATCATTAGCAGTAAACTTTTTATCACTATCATCCAACTTATGCTATCTTTTGTTTTGCATTATCGACTTCTTACTTTACTCTCGGACAGACTGAATTGTATACTAAGCTATAATACTTGCTTATTTCTCAATTTTATCTAAATTTAGGTGGAATTTAGATTTACTTTGACACTCCGGTATTTCAAACTTTTCTTTGTCCTATGATGTCAGGTCAATAATGATATTCTTTGCCTTTGTAGACTCTGCATATTCAATAATTTTCTGTTTTTGTTTAGTTTTATCAGACATTAAATGCACTCTCTACTGGTTTAAACCATTGTTTAGTCTGATTGATTTTGATGAATCAGTTGAATCCATATGATTTAGAGAATCTTTGTCAAGTTGGAGACTAAATTTTGGAGTGGGTGATTAGACTAATGGTTGGAAAAAATTTGGTAACACTGACTCATCTACCTCAACATAACTATTTCTTTACTCTTAGTATTCTTTTACCTCGCTTTAAGGTTGCTGATCACCTAAAGTAAATATCTCTTAATGCGCATTTGGTGAAGAGAAAGAGGCGAACAGTTCATGATGTGTATGCTAAAAATACAGTTGATTATTAGAATGCTGCTAAAGATTGCTGATTTAGTTATTTGGGTTCTAACCACAGCTACTTCTTATTGTGCTTATATTGTTATTTAAAAGTGATTGCGTTTTTTCATTATTCTTCAAGAAGTTATCAAAATGCTCTTGGAAATCTTCTTTCTTATTCTCCACATTTTTTTGTAATTAAGCCACTTAGTTTTCTGTAATTTGATAACTCTAAGACTACTTCTTGAATGTCTCAAATGGGTCTTAATTGGCTTCTGGGATATGCCTCTCTGAGAATATAGACATCTTTGGGACTTGGAATTTGCTATTCTAGTCTTGCTTTTCTTAGACTGAGAAATACTAGTGAAAACTCTCTTTATTTTCCTTTTACTTTGGTTCACATTGCAAGGCTCCTTCGAAGAACATGCTTCTTTTCTGTTAATTTTACTCTTCTAAGGATATACGATTATCATTATTTTCATAGAGATTTGTTCTATTTGTCAGATAATTAGAGAGAAGTTAACGATTTTGAAGATTTGCACTTTACTTTTGCGTGCCTAATTTCATTACATTGTAATCGTCAGGTTTCTGCAGAAAACTCTTCATGCTTTAACTCTATACCAGACTGTTGGCACTTACATTTGAAATGTTATTCTGTTACCCTAGTCCACCAGTAGGTATGCTAGATACCACAGTTTACTTCTGTACCTGAGATACTGAGCCTTTAGATTTTAAAAGTTAGTCTTTTCATTTTCCTTTTGAGTCAGGAAGTATATTGCAGATTTAGAGGAGTGAGTCCATTGAAGTGTCGGGATAAGTCTCAATTTTTTATGAGGAGTGTAGGAAATCATTGAAGGATTTCTTCTCAGGCAATTGAGCTTTCTTGAAAAACATTGATTGATCTTGTGCAAAGTCAAAGGGAGACAGACTCTACCTGCAGTTTTTACGTTTTAAAATGTCTAACCCATTAACTTAGGATTGAGATTTCATGAGAGTAGACTATTGCTAGTGCTAACTTAGAGGAGACTTATTTGCATTCAAGTTACTTGAGCTTAAAACATGACTTGCATTAGTGTTATTGTTATTAGTGTTGCCGAATGCTCCACTTTGCCTTTTAGAATGCAGCTTATTGCGCACCTCAGATATTCTTTGTTGTATTTCCATTTATATTTTTTACCCTTCTTTTCCATTGGAGTTCATTCCATTCAGACAAGAGTAACTACTGTGACTGTTCTAATGAGGAGTATTCATCTGATAGTAGGCAGCTTCATTGCTAGTCTGATGAATACTTCCATAGGGAGACAGTTACCTTTGACTTGATGCGATTGACTGCTGGAAGTCACTTAACTTTTATGAGCGCATCGTTTATTAAAATTGCTAATTTTTATCCATTTGAATTATAACGATAATATATTAATAATTTCTTACATATTTCTATCAAACATCGTCTATTTGGTCTATTGGGGTTTTGGGGTTTTGGGGTTTTGGGG